AGAAACCAAACAAGAAAAATATTTCAAAAGGGAAGGCGTGGTCACCAGTATCCGAAGCTGCTAAAAGGTCAGGCAAAAAGAGGACTTAAAAATGTCCACTAGACTCAGTGACCTGATGTCACTGGTAACAGGAGCCGTTTGTATTCTTCTTTCTCTGACCCACTGTAGAATCTAAAAGTAGATTAGAGTAAGTTGAGAAGAAAATGGTTCAACCTAGAGGAGAAACTGCAAAACAGCAGTTTAAAAAGGTTTAAAATGGTAGGGCCAGGCGCAGTGGCTCACACCCGTAATCCCAGCACTCTGGGAGGCCCAGGCAGGTTGATTGCCTGAGCTCAGGAGTTCGAGACCAGCCTGAGCAACAGCAAGACCTCCGTCTCTAAAAATAACCAGGCATTGTGGGAGGTGCCTATAGTCCCAGCTACTTGGGAGGCTGAGGCAAGAGGATCATTTGAGCCCAAGAGTTTTTTGTTTTTGTTTTTGAGACAGAGTCTCACTTTGTTGCCCTTAGTAGCGTGCTGTTGCATCATAGGTCACAACAACCTCAAACTCTTGGGCTCAAACAATTCTCTTGTCTCATTCTCTTGAGTAGCTGGGACTACAGGCACCAGCCACAATGCCTGGTTAATTTTAGAGACTGAGTCTTGCTCTTGCTCAGGCTGGTCTTGAAGCGGTGAGCTCAGGCAATCCACCTACCTTGGCCTCCCAGAGTGCTAGAATTACAGGCGTGAGCCATGGTGCTCAGCCTATAAGGCCAAGAGTTTGAGGTTGCTTTAAGCTATGACAGCACAGCACTCTACTAAGAAAAAGTGAGACTCTGTCTCAATAAATAAATAAATAAATGATAGAAAAATATACTCATGAAATATTACTAATATCTTAAGCTATTAGAAATAAAACTAAAAATAATTATTAACATTATAGTAAAAATAAAGTACTGACAGCAATAAAGAGCTTTTTCTAGAGATAAGGTAAGAGGTTATAGTCCTTAAAAATTTTTCAATTATTTGCATATAAAACCTTTCTTTCTATTATTAGGATCTTTTCATTTGAGGGCTAAATTAAATTTCTGCCTGCTACTTCCCACGGAACTTCACAACCACAGGGAACCTGTTATACTGAGGTTCTCATTTTACAGATGAAGATCTTCAGATAATGGGAGATTAGCAGCTATTTTGGATACAAATGCCAATTAGAGCTAGGAAATCAAACATCTCTCCCCTCTGAGATAGAGATGCCAATCATTTTCTCCACCCCAGCCCCTTCCTTAGAGAACAAGACTACTCAAATCCCCAAAATGAACTGCCCTACATTGAATCTCCCTCCAACCATACCAAATTAGACTACAGGGGATATCTGACCCAAATTTAGCCAAATTCTCTAAATTGTGGAATTAAACTCAGTCAGATCTTAGAAGGTAAGAAGGCTATATGGTCATATAGCCTGGAAGGCCAGTGTGGCATTTTTTAGCTGTGGACAAGAAATTGTGATGTATTTACAAAGAAGCAGAGGAAGAGGCATGTAGTCTCACCAGACAATCAATTGTTAAATGATGTTTCTTTCATTTGCATTTTACAAAGGAGGTGGTTATTAAAATGAGAGGGAAAGATAGAAAACATTATTCGCTTTGCAAAATGAAAGGGAAAGAAAAAAAAACACTAAACAGTGACCACTTATTAAGCACAGTGAACATAACTAGGAAGAAATGAATCAGTGGGTCTTAGTTATCACGTGCCCTTTGAGGTATCTATTGCTGTACTGAATGTGGATCTACAGTTTGATACAGTATACAAATATTTTTGATTTGCCAGGCCCTAAACACAAGTTCACCATTTTATGTGCAATCAACCAAAAACAAAATGCCCAATACTTTAGTGTACTTTATGAGAAATTAAAGTCTTTTCAAAAATAATTTTAACTTATATAAATTTTATCATCTGCTGTTTTAAGAACCTAATACCCACTTAAAATGCCGCTCCTCTGCAAATGCCTGACAACTTTCTAGTTCACATTAGCCCTAGTGAAGTTCCTGTAATTATATTTCAAGATCCTTAGAAACTTTCGAATGTCCCCTCCATTTTCCTTTGAGCTAATTTGAGTAGGCTTCTGGTTCCTTAACAGAGATGTTACTAAAGTGATCCTAACCTGCTGAAGCCTTTTTATACTAACATTAAGGAATAGTGAAAGGTACTGTAGTTAGGAGTTTTAGAATCAAGACAGATCTCTGGGCTCAGCGCCTGTGGCTCAAGCGCCTAAGGCGCCAGCCACATACACCTAAGGTGGCGGGTTCGAATC